TGCCCCAGCTTCAAGTTACCATCCACAAGGTGTGTCAAGACTTTCCATTAGCCACTGGAAAATGTCTTCATGTCAATTAACTCTCCTATCCAGTTTTACACACTGCAGCTTCAATAACCTCAAGATCCATTACCTTACAAAATGCTTAGTTCCTCTATTTCTCCTTGTGAAAAGTACTTGTCTCCCATAGTAGGAACTATACTTTCCTCTCTATGTTGAGATCCAACTCTAATTTTTGATAAATAAAAATAAAGAGAGATGAATGCAGATCCTGAGAAGACACCAACATCATGTTTGTGATGTTCAGGAAAGGGAGCTGACAGCGTGATGGAAATGGTCTACCATGACTGCAGGGAAGCTCAGACGTGGCCAAGGGACAATGGATCAGGGTATCAACAGTGTAACTTCACAGTCATAATGAAAGAACAGGAAAATAAAAAACAAAAAGGACAGGGGGCAGTTAAGAAGAACCAAGGTTGGGGCTGGCAGGTGGTGTGGTGGTTAAGGGTGTTGGACCCCCACATGGCTGACCATGGCTTACTTTTGCACTTTCTCTCTCCTTCCCCCCGCCAACCCAGTCAAATAAAAATAAATAGATAAATAAGGTTAAATAAAACTCATTCTTAAAAAAAGTAGAAAGAACCAAAGTAGGTCCAGACACAACTCGGAAGACACTGTGTTCTGCAGGCTGGGACCACGAGGGAGGCCACACCAGACCACAGGGGAGGTTCCAGTTCAATCTAAAGGCCAGGAGCAGTGGTATGTGCCTGTAATCTCAGCTCTTTACATAGTAAGAATCTGCCTCAAAAACAACTGCGCATGGTGGCATGCATGTCTAGTCTCATCTGTGAGGCTCAGGCAGGAGGAGTACAGCAGCGAGACCCTGTCTTAAAAAAAAAGAAACCAAGTTATGAAGTTATGTATCTGTAGATTCTCTCTCTGTGTACACACACACACAGTACCCACATACCTAAAGGGCTTTATACTGCACATTGGTCACAACTGAAGAGACAATTAGAAAACTAGAAGTTACATCTGAGAAAATCACCCTGAATATAAACACAGAAAGAGGTGGAAAATATGAAAAAACGAATTAAGACACTGTGACATTGGAATAAAGGTGGACAATTACCAATGGAGGAGAATGGAGGGTCTTGAAATTGCCCCATAGATACATAGACACTTCCTTTATGGCAGATCTTTTATTGCAGATCACTGGAGAAAGGAAGGACCACTTAAATGAATGATGTTTAATATTCATTCATCCTTCCTTCAAGTCATTCTCTTTGCCTTTATGTCTGCCTCCCAGCATCTCTTCCCCTTGGCTCTACAATCTCCATCTGTTTGCTTTCTCAAAGACTTGACTCCTATTAGCATCCCCTCTGTTCCTTGACTCTCAGCAGCAAACCCTTGTTGTGAGACAAACTTTCTTTCTTGCTCCCATGATGATCACATTTACCTGACTCTGATCTTCCCTCATGGCTATTTTCTCCTAGGCTCTGGAATCTCTTCTTCTTTATGGCTAGAAAAACCTTGTTCTCTTCTCTATACTGTCTCCCTAAGTGATCCACTTAGGTCCACCTCCTTTTGTTCCACTTACACACTTACATCACCATACTTCAAGCTACTGCTCTCTCACATGGATGACGCCATAGCCTCCAACCCAGTCTTCTTGCTTCTACCATTCCTACACAGCAGCCAGCATTGGAAACGTAAGTTGATCTCACAGACTAAAAGTCCCCAATGGGTTTTTGCTTGAAATCCTTACTATGGCTGAGACGCTCTTTCTTTCCAACCTCATCTCTTACCTTGACCCTCCACTAATCCTTCCACCTAGGCCATGACTGCTGTATATTTCCTTTAAAGCACTTTTTTTTTTGAGATCTTGCTTTAAGATGTGTGCACTCACCAGAGAGACAGAGACAGACAGAAAGTGACAAATCACCCTTTAGGAGGGATGGCCATGCCACAGTCCCCTCTCCTCCATTCTCCTTCTGGGATCTTGGGCACAAATGCACAGTCACCCAATGTGAGTTTGAAGCCTCCAGGTCTGAGATTCAAACCATGGTCAACCATGTGGGAGTCCAGCAACATAAATGCTATGCCATCTGCTGGCTCCCCTTTATAGCACTTTTATTATCTGAATTTATTTATTTAACTTATCATCTGTTTTCCCTTGATTTAAGACCTAGCTCATCATTTCACACACACCCCCAACACCCCCCCCCTGTTTTATTAATCCTATCAAAGATATTTTTACTTTCTAGGACTTGAAACTGGTTTTCTTTGACCCCTGTTTCCCTCACCTTTCTATTTCCAATACTACAAATTAATGATAATGTTCCTCATTTTGTTTCCTCCTTTTTTCTATATCTTTTTTTTTTTTCATCCTAATCCGATGGCTGTGGACTGTTTTGGGGTCATAGACCAGCCTGACAGTGTTACGAAAGTCATAGGGTAGTCTAGATGAATGACTAGATCGAGTTACTTAATACACTGTGCGTTAGTTTCACCATCTACAAAGTGAAGAGAATAACAGTATAAACCTAGCCCAGATGCTTTCTGCGGTCCTTGGCCCAGCCATGGAGGTGTGTTCTAGGTGCGCTGTCCTAATCTCCACTCATGTCTGTTGTGTATCACTCTACTACTCTGCCTCAGAGATTTCTTCAGAGGGAGCACAGCCAAGGAATATCTGGAAATTCACATCCCTGGAGACAAAGCTCACACAATGGTAGATGGCAGTCAGTTAATAAATGCCCTAGCTTCCTGTCCAAGGAGATAATTCTGATGCACATTCTATTGATACATTATTTTTCAGAGGATCTCCAAAAGAAAAAAAGAGTTAGTTATTGCCTATACTGAAAAGCAGCTTAATATTCACTCTTCCTTTTTTGTGTCATTTCTTTGCCTTTATTTCTGCCTCCTGAGATTATCTCCAAGATAAAATTGCCAATGAATCAAATGAGAATGCGACCATGCGGATGGTGCTGACACTTTTTAAAAAATCGATATAGAAAGATCGCACACACTTGTGAGGTACCGTGTGACTCTTCAAGTCAAGAATAGTGTGTATTGATCACATCAGGGCAGTTGGAGGGTCTGTCATCTCAGCCACTTATCAAGAAATTAAAAGTTCTCTTTTCTAGTTACTCTGAGATATACAGTAAGTTGCTATTAACTATATTTATCCTACTATAACTGATAACACTAAAAATTGTTCCTCTAACCTATCTCTAATTTTGTTTTCATTAGTCAACATTCCTCTGTTCCCATCTCCCCCAGTCTTTCTCAGGCTGCAGTAGTCATTCAACTCTCTACTTCTATGAGATAATTTCTTTAATTTCTACCACTTTTTAATACTGAAGTGGAGGCAGCTAGAAGGTAAAAAGGATTGGGATGCAGGGTACATGAGGAAGACATCCTGTGATAAGGTCAGGGACAATGAAAAAGTGAACTCACATGGCAGAGGGAATAGGATTATTTGGCAGCTTTGAGCATCCTTTGAGATGTAGGGTCACGAATTGGCATTGTTAACAAAATAGTTAAATAGGAGATCTTAACAAATAGCATGTAACTTAACTCCCTCTACAGAAAAAAAAAAGTTCTGCATAAGTGGATGGGTCTTTTCCCTTTTGTATGTGTGTGTGTATGTGTGTACATACATGTATATATGTAATATTTTCATATATATATTATATATATTAATATTTTCATATATATATATATATTACTGAGTATATGTAATATACCTCTAAGTTATAAAGTGTAAATTTAATGAGTACCTATGAACTCTTCACCCTACATTGGAATCTCAGTTTTTGATGGAACCTCAATTCCATCAAAAGAGAATGGTGAGAAAAACAGAGGTCAAAGAAACCCAACATTTCAAGTCTTAGAAACATCTTTGATGGTATTAATAAAAGAGGAGGGAGCATTTGAGGAGTGAAATGATGATCTAGGTCTTAAATTAAGTGTAAACAAATGATGAACAAGTTAAATAAATCCATACAGATGATTAAAGTGTTATAAAGGAAATGAACAGCAGTCATAACCTACGCGGAAGAAGTTAGCCAAGGACCAAGTCGTTTGCCAATAACTTAGATTTTTTGGGGGGCGGAGAGGATTTTTTTTTTTTTTTTTTTTTTTCCACAAGGGCACACTTGTCCAAAACTTGGGCCAGACAAACAGAGAGAGACAAAGAGACAGAAAGCGAGAAATCACCCCCCGGGGGGGGGGGAGGGCCACGCGCAATCCCTTCTCCTCCATTCTCCTCTTACCATCTTGGGCACCCACGCACACGCGCCGGGCGTGAGTTTAAGCCACCGGGTCCAGAACTCGAACAGCAGTCGGCTACGTGGGAGTCCAGCGACATAGCCATGAAGACCTGCTGGTCCCTTCATTTATTTTTATTCTCCTTCCTAATCGTTCCCTCTGATCCCCACCAACCCATATCCTGAATATTGTGCTTATCATTCTCTTACTTTAAAAATGTTTTAATATATTTTTTTGCCTAGACAAAATTTTTCAGTTGTCTTTGATTTTGAGCTTTATAAAAATAGCATCTGGGACTGGGCTTATAAAAGTCATCACGTGCTGATACTCGTGATTATGAATGCTCGTGCACATCTGGACGTTTTTCAGAGAACTGCATAAAGGCATCCACGCCCAAACACTGACAGACAAGCGACAACACACCCACGTGCTCGAGCATTCTCCCGCGGTCTAAGTTCTTTGAAACTTAGCAGAGGAATGTTGTCTTAGCATCGCGTCGCACACATTCGACGCAATCTTTTCGGCAAAAAGAAAGCTTAAACAAATGTTTTGGGAGAATGTTATTAAAAAAAGATCAACAGTTTTTGGCTTATGCGTCTTTATGCCTTTGGAGGATTTATTTTGACTCCCCGACGGATCCCCCCCGGTAGGCGGCCGTGCGGAAACTGCTGCGAATCCGGGTCGGGCAGCTGGCGGGGCGGGGCGGGCGGTGACGTCGCCGTCGCGGGGCGGGGCCGGCGTGTCCCGGGAGCTCCGCGTGCAGCAGCACCGGCCACCCGGCTCCGAGGCGGCACGCTCCCCGGCCCCCAGCCTTCTGCAGGTGACCCGCCTGGTCGAGTTCCGCGTGGAGATGGCAGACGATCTTGGAGACGACTGGTGGGAGAACCAGCCTGCAGGAGCAGCCAGCAGCCCAGGTACCCGCGCTGTCGGCGTCCCCGGCCTCCTCTGCCTGGGCTCCCGAGCTCCTCGGCCTGGCCCGCTGCTGCGGTCGCCGAGCTCCACCCCGCGCTGGCGCGCCCCGCAGTGGGAGGGCGCGAGAGTCCCGGCAGTGCCCCACGCGCGACGCGGTGTGACATTCCCCTAGGTGTGCCTGCCTGCCAGGCAGGAAGAATCGTTGCCGAATTCTCATTTTTTATTTGGTGTTGGTTTTACTTTTGCTTTTTCATTTCTTGAGCATGGATAAGACAGTTTTCCTAAAGACAATTTTGCTTAGCGGTAAGGATAACCCTTGAACTATGACTTGAACTTAAGACTACTACACACAGCGACTCGTGCTCTGGTATTGTTTCACCTCCTTTTCCTCGTTTGTAAAATAAGGATACTAATGAGGTCTCTCATAAAGTTGTGAAGAATAAATGAATATAATCCAGCACTTCCCAGTGCTTGGCACAGCAATGTAAGCTCTCGTTTTCGTCGTTGTCATTGTATCTGTGTAATTAGCAATATTAGAGCTGGTCGGGTGTTTGAATAGAGATCACCCCTTTGAATTCACCTGTTTTACAGATGAGGAACATGACCAAGAGATCCTGAGTAACTTGACCAGTTCACAGAGCTCATTCACGTCAGAAACAAGGCTAGAATTCAGTGAACGCAAATCGAATTTTTACTGTGCTGTGTAGCCCCTCCTGATAGAGTGGGCGTTGTATCCCTGAGTAGAGTAGTAGTAAGCAACTCTACATCCCAGGCCAAACTTGAACTCTTCAAGGCCCATCCGACTTTATACGAAATTATGTTTTTCCAGTTTGTTTTTGTCACTCTTCAGTGTCTACCCCTCTTTTCTATCAGATTCTGTGATTTTTTTTTTTAGGTTGTTGCCAAAGTTGAATTCACACATTTGTATCATCCACAGGGCTATAATTTTCACTGCTGACAGTTTTTGTCACCTAGAACCAATGTGATCATACTTTTAGATTGCCAAAATGAACACTGTACCTTTTTTTTTCATTATAATATCATTTTATCTTTCAAATCACATTTTTAAATTCTGAATTCCTTCTGGAAATGATTAAATGGGGGAACACCTTAGGCCTTTAAACCTGGATAGCCAGGTTTGTTTGTTTTCCTTTTTCACACCAAAGTTAGAAAAAAAATTATTAAAACACAGTATTAATTCACCCGTACATTGTAAAGAATGTGTCTGCATATAAAATTCAGATGTAGAGTATTCATAGTAGAAGTTGATGATACACAACAGAGGATTGACCTCAGGGCATGTCATTTAAAACCTTTCATTGAGCTCTCAGGTTTGGCCCCATTTTAGACACTGTAATGGAATTAGAGGGATAAAAGATAATCAGTTTATACTATAGGACTAATACATTGATGTGATTTAGTGAGAATGTGAATAATATTAAAGATGGTGTTCAAGGGCAGAAAACAAGAATGGGGGGAATTTCTAAGAAGGTGAAGGAAAGAGGAGACAGCGGCATTATTGGTCATTGTTTTGAACTTGACAACTACAACAGGGTTAATAGGTGGTGTGGTGGTTAAAGGCACTGGATTCCTACAGGGCTCACCACGGTTCAAGTCTCAGACCTGATGGCTTGCATTCTCACTTTCCCTTTCTCTCTCTGGTCAAATTAAAAAATTAATAACAAATGGAATTAAATAAATAAATGAATAATTCTTAAAAAAAACTACAACAGATGGGCCCCCTTCAGATAGATGGCTCTTTATGGGCTAGTTTTAGTTTACTTTAAGTTCCACGATTCTTAGAAATAATTCAATGAGTGGTTCTTAGAAGTAATTATGAAAGCTTAGAAATGTATTGTTTTTCTCCAAATCACATTTATTCACGCTGTAATTTTGGTAAATGTCCTTAAATCTCTTGAAATAATACCACACAAATGTGAAAGGCCTAACTAAGATTGCTTCCATTTCCTTTGTCAGATTCAACCGTAATACGTTACATTATTTTGTGCCACAAATCCAATCCTTTAATAGGTTCTTAATATAATATTCTCTAGTTGAACATTTTAGATTCATTTATAGAATTATGTTTTACTAAATATATCACAAACTGCTTGAAATACAGTTTCCCTATTTCCTCACCTTTCACTGAATTCTTAATTGAATTATTAAATTACTAGTATTGCTTCTAGAATTAGTTGATTAATATCTTTGTAAGTTCTTATTCTTGAGTTTGTTGTGAGACTAGTTTATACTAAACTCGGGGTCAAGAAACTATATTTGTGAAAATGCAGATAGTAAATATTTTAGGCTTTGCTGGTTCCATGGTCACTGTCCTCACCAAAGTGTAAAAGCACTCATAGGCAATAAATCTGTAGACGAATGAGTATGGCCATGTTCTAATAAAACTTTATTTTTGGACAACAGAATTTTAATTTTACATTTTTCATGTATCACAAAATAGTCTTCCTCTTTTGATATTTTTTTCCCCAACATTTAAAAATGTAGAAACTATCCTTAGCTTGCAAGTAATCAGAATCAGACAATAGCCCCAAGTTGGCCTTTGGGCCACAGTTTACATACCCATGCCCTACACTCAAAGTTGGACCTGGAGTTGTATGCCACATGGCTGCAGAAGCAGAAAACATTTACTACATATTCCAGAGAGAATTGTAACTAAATATATTACCTATATGTTACTCAGTCTGCAGTTATCACTCTGTGTAACCTGACCACATTCCTGATGAATTAGATACTTGATTTCAAAAAGTTACAAGGAGATGGTCCGAAATCATTGAAGTTCAATAAACTCCATCATCAAAGTATCAGGTTTTGCATTTTTGTATGTGTGACAAATTGTATTCCTTTTCATTGCCTTGGATCTGAATAGTTTTTAAACTGAAGTCAGTCTAGGATTATTAGGACAGCCTCTTTATTTCCACTGCTTTTCAGAGGGGTCACATTTCTACAGAAACAAGATTATGCCCAAGAGACAGGATTCCATCTACTTCAGTTGTGTTATGTGTCGGTGACATACCATTTTGTTGAACTCCAAATAATATTCCCAGTTCTTAGTTGAATTTGCATTTTATTTTCTTGCATACTGCTCGAAATAGCATGTTTTGGTTGGCGCTCGTTTAGTTAACTTTAGAACTTTATTGTGCCAGCTTGTGTGGGATGATTGTTAAAACAGTTGGATCCCACATGGCTGAATGTGTGGTTTGAGTCCCACCTGGGGGACCAGGAGGCTTGAAAAACATGCCAGGCTTGTGTGCATCCTTGCTCAAAATCTCAAGAGGAGAATGGAGACGAGATTGTGGTATAGCCATTTCCCTTAGAAGGTGCTTTCTCTTTCTCTCTACTGAGTATATGCGCCCTGCAGCAACTTTTTTTTTTGTTTATTTTAAAGACTTGTCTTTAAACTGAGTTACTATGTAAAGACAGATTTCTGCCGGTTACCGTAAGGGTGAATATTTTCCTACCCTCTTAAAAAATGAGTTTGTTTAGTATCTTGTCCCTGTTTTCTGGCTTGCTGTAAAAAAAAAAAAAAAAAAAAAAAAAAGAAAGAGGGAAATGCTACCGAAGA